GGGAGGGGACAGGGGACACGGAGGACAGGGGATGGGTTCGTGGCGCCGGTGATGCTGAGCAGCGGGTACTCGTGTCCCTGGGGTGCTGCCGGCAGCCCCACCGGTTTCCTGATCTCACCCTTCCCTTCCTCAGCCTGAAGTTGTTTTTTTCCGGGCAGGAAGAGTTTGAGGCTTGGCGGCAGGCAGCGGCGTGCGGGCAGGAGCAGGCAGGGCTGTGCCGGCGGTGTCCTGGCTGGGTGATGCCATGCACAGCCCCCAGCAAACACCCGGAGCCGGTGGTGGGCACCCCAGGGTGCTGGTGCTGGTTTGCAGAGAGGGGGCTGTGAGACGGGGCATGGAGGTCCTTGTGCTGGCCCTGGCGTGGCATACGGGTTCTCCAGCTCCTGGTGGGGTTAGAGAGGGAATTAAGGTCCTCCGGGGTCTCTGCACCAGGCTGTGCCTCAGTTTCCCTCGTCTGTGCAGTTCCCAGCCTGCCTGGGACGGGGGGAGTCCCTGCTCTTGGGGTCCTTTGCAAGGATGATGCTGAGACGGGGCATGGAGGTCCTTGTGCTGGCCCTGGCGTGGCATACGGGTTCTCCAGCTCCTGGTGGGGTTAGAGAGGGAATTAAGGTCCTCCGGGGTCTCTGCACCAGGCTGTGCCTCAGTTTCCCTCGTCTGTGCAGTTCCCAGCCTGCCTGGGACGGGGGGAGTCCCTGCTCTTGGGGTCCTTTGCAAGGATGATGCAACCCTCCAAAGGGAAAGTCATCCTCTTTGTATCCTCATTTAATACCCTCGTGCTGCCCTTTCTCCACTCGGCTGCCCACGGCCCCGCACAACTCGCTGCCTCGTTTGCTCCTAACGAAGGCACTGGGGAGAAGGGCGGTGCTGTGCCCCAGCTCTGCTCCGGCCGGTGGGGACAAAACCCTGTGGCTTCACGGCAGAGACATCATGACTCCGGTGTATCGACCGGCCGGGCAGAGCCATGGGAGAAGATTTCTCTCACGGTGTTTCCAGCGCCCAGTTCGGAGATGAGCGGGATAACGTCATCCCGGGCCGGCTGTCGTCGCCCGGCGCTTCTCCCGGCTCTCTGGGGCTGCGTCCTGTGGGTGGGGGTGCATCGGTGGCAGC